CGGGCGGGGCTCGTGGTGGGGCTGGTGGGGGCGGCCACCGTGAGCCGTGGGAGCAGGGAGCCTGGAGAGCGGCCGAGGGCAGGCGGGGGCCCTGGGAATCGTGTGGGGAGCTGGTTTGGGTTCCGCTCAGCAGGAGCTCGCAGCCAGCACCGGGCTCGCCTCGATCGTAGATGGGAGACGGCAAAAGCCCTGAGCTGCTGTTTTCGCCGCCTGGCTGGGCTGGGCTCAGTGCTGGGGCAGCGCTGGAGGTCTCTGACTCAGGGCTCTTCTGGGCTGTCATTAATCTTTATTAGCAGGCAGGAAACGAGCTTGTAAAACTGGGGGTACGGCTGGGTTTGGGGTGTTGGTCTGCTCGGACCGGGTGAGTTTCCCTTCCCAGGCCTGGCAGGCCGGGGGGCGATGCAGGCAGGCTGACGGGAGATCCCTGCCCCTCTCCCTGCGGCGGTCCGCGGCATGAGGGGGTCCTCATCACCCCCCGGCTCCCACGTCCCCGTGTCCCCGGATTAGGCTTAGGCCCTGCTGTGGGAGCGCACTGGGCTCTGCAGGCGAGTGGGGAGCCCAGGCAGGTCTCAGGCTGCAGAGGGGAGAGCACAGGGCCCAAACCACTCGGCAGTGGGGCAGTGACGGTGGGAGACCTGTCTCGTGTGCCCCCCGGGGACCGTTTCGGGCTTGGGCATGAGGAGGGAGGCACAGCGCTGCGGCCGCAGCGTTCGTTCCCCAGAAAGGTGTTAGCCAGGGCGGCCTCGCAGCTGCAGCCACAGGGACCCGAGGCAAAGGGAGGGCACGGGGGGCAGTTCGGAAGGGATTAGTCCCCTGTCCCGGCTTGGCTGCAGCCCAGGGGAGGGACCCGGTTCTGAGCTGTCGCTCTGCATGATCTGCGCGGGCTGGCTTGAGCTCGGGCTTTGGCTGGGGAGAAGGGGACGGGCACCGTGGCTTCGCGCGGAGTAAGAGCGATTGCAAAGAAGGAAGCAAACGGAGCGGGGATGATGCCCAGCACTAGCCTCTCCCGCATCCTCGGCCCACGGGCTTGTCCCTCTGCAGGGCAGAAGCCCGGAGTGAGGGGCATGGGCACGCACCACGATAAAGCTGCTCCCGTCCTGCTGCGGCTGCGCTGGCAGGAGCCCTCCCAGAGCTGTGTCCCTTTGCCTCACGCATCCTGTGCCCGGAGGAGGACTCGATCAAGTGGCGCCGCAGGCCAGTGTGCGGCTTAGGGTCGGTCTCCTGCTGGAAGCATTGGAGCTGGTTCTGAAATATTCCCGGGAAGCAAGGGAGGGCTGCGTTCGAGGCTTGCTTGCTTTCCAGCCTGTGTTTACAGTGAGAAATAACCTGGCACTTGGGCGGGAGAAGCTTCAGCTCCTTCGAGGAGCAGGCGCGGGTCCCGGATGGCCGTGCCTCCCTCGGCTGCATCCCGCAGTTGTGGCTTTAACCTTTAAGCTCCAGCCTGCGCTAGACGGGCACAGCTAGAAGCAAACTGCAGGGTGGGATTACGTCTTCTCCTGCTGCCACTGCTTGGGCAGCGGCCTTCTCACGTGCCGCACCTCAGGGCAGGGAGGGATGGCGTTTCTCTGAGCAAATGCATGTTTTTAGACTGGATCAGTCAGTTCTGGCTCAAAACCCCACATGAGGTCACTCTGCTCCTTCTCCTGTGCCGGCTAAGAGAGCTCCGAGTCCGTTCAGGCTCAGCCAGCACCAGGAAAGCCATCCCCCAGCTTCTCCTGGGGTAGCTCATCCCGTTTGCACCTCGGAGGTTTGGTCTGAACTTCGGGCTTGCAAATTGCCCCTCGGTGACGCTGGAACGCAGGGCGAGGGGACGCTGGAGGGGCGGCGGCTCCCTCGGAGCCCCCTTCCCGGCCAGGAGTCAGAGCTAATTGCTTTTCCCTGGAGTAACCAGCCCTTTTCCCAGCGGCAGAGGGATTTCAACAATTTCAAAGCGGCTCCCAGGAACTCGGGCATTCTCCTGAGATGTGTTTTAACGTGGCCGTGTGAGTTTTGAAATAGTCAGCGGCTGGTTTTCTTGGTGACTGAAGCAACTCGGTGTAGGTAGTGGGGGGCGCGTGGTGTCTAGAGAGGGAGGGACAGCAATGAGTGCCCCAACCGTGCGATGCTTCTCCTCTCCTTCTCCCCCAGCTTCTCAGGCAGAGCTTGGCAGCTTGACTACCCGCTCGGTTTGCTTTTTATCTTTCAGGCATTCAAAGTCTTTGAGCGGATGGCTCGGCAGGATGACGAGAAGAGGCGCCGAGAGCTGGAAGCGAAGCTAAGGAAGAAGGAAGAGGAGGAGGAGGCTGCCGCAGCCGCCGGGAGGGTGAAACTGTCCCCTGCAGCTCAGGAGGTTGAGGTAGAGACAACAGCAGAACACGTCCCAGCACCGGACGCAGGGGGAGCTGCGGGGACGCAGGAGTCGGCCATAGCCCAGGACGCAGCCCCCAGTCCTGTGTTGGCGGAGCCCCCGGGGGCCGCTGCCCCGGCAGAGCCCCAGCCAGCAGAACTGCCCACGTAAGGGTCTCTTACTTTCTTCGTGCTCCTGGCAGGGGGGAGGCAAAAACACCGAGGTGGTGTTCGCTGTCCTGCCGTACAGCCCTTTTCTGGGCGGGGTGGCCCTCCTCTGCGGGCACTCAGCCCTTCGGGAGGCTGTGAGGATTTCCCTTGCGGGCTCCTGTGGCCAGAGACGTCGCGTAATTCTCCACGAGAGGGCAAGGGTTTGTCCTCCTGCGGGTGGTTTGGTGTCTCCCCCTACGCTCTGAGCAGGGAAGGTGGCGCGTTCCGGTACGCAGCCCCGCAGAGCTGGGCTGGTCCGTGCGGCTTCTCCTTTGTGCTGGTTGCGGTGAGCAGTGTCCCTTTTCCAGCGCTTGACGTAGCGCAGCTGGGCTGATGGTCCTGTTTGACTGTTGCAGCTCTGGGAAACCCAGACACCGTCCTGTAACCCTTTTCTCACGGAAATTCAGTGTCAGACTCCCCTGGTGTGCTGTGAGACGTCCCAGCAGCCGGCTAGGAGCTTGCACAGATACCCGCAGTACCTGTGAGTTGGTGCAGGCAGGCCTGGCTGCGTGGCAGGCAGCAGGGCCAGGCGCGGCATCAAATACACGCAGCAAAAAATGGGCTCGGAGATTTCCGGAGGTCTCCGGCCCAACCCTTTGCTCAGAGCAGGACCAACTTCGAAGATCAATCAGGTGCTGCAAAGAGTTTTCTCTTTAGCTGTGTTCTTTTGCCAGACTCGGTCGCTTTCAAACGGGGCTAAGCAGCCTTGGTTTTTACAAAAATGTCCTGGTTTCAAAGTCCTTCCGGGGTATCTGTGACTCTTCCAGCTCGGCTCTGTCCGATGAGCAGCGGGAGGTGAGCTCCCACGGGCCGGCATGGCCTTTATGAACCGCTTACCTGTGCAGGGTTCGCTCGTCCTTCCCTGGGCGTCACCTTGACCCCGAGCCGAGGCAAAGCTGTCTCAGCCTCTCTTGGGGCCGCGCACGCCGTTGAGTTTCAAGCTCCTGTGTCTCCTCACTGCCTGAGTCAGTGCTTTGCTTTGCCTCGGGGAGGGATGCCGCGAGCAGGCCGTGGCAGACTGCCGTCTCCTTCCTTTCCCAGTGTCCCTCGTGGTCAGAGCCCCAAGCGATGGCCGCACCGTTCCCCGCCCCATCACTGCTGCTTTCCTGGTCATACGTGGGGCTTTACTGTGGTCCGTCTCCGCTGTCCCACTGGTGCTTGGCGAGGAGGACAGCTTGGGACAGTGATCCCTGTCCTCTGGGCCAGGTTTAGACACATCAGCGGTGAGAACAAGCCACCGGAGAGAAGCAGGCTTTCCTGGGAGAGCCCCAAGTCCTGGAAGGACGGGGATGGCCGATGCCCGCGAGGGGCAGAGAGGATTCGGAGCCCAGACTTTGGGGGCTGTTGGCCCTTGGCGTGTGGAAGGGGTGATCTGAGGACCAAAATCTTGGGGGCAGTGGAACGATAAGTGGCAGGACTGTGGCGGAAAACCTGTGGCGGAGTCAGAGCCTGCAGCCTCGGCTCCAGGCAGTGGTAGAGAGAAGGGCCCGAGCGTGGCAGCCCTTGGATGGAAGGGGAAGGGTGCTGGCTGCGCCCGGGCAAAGTGCCTGCCAAGTAACTTGATCCAGTGGGGAGGAGGAGAAGGACTCATGCTTAACTCGGCCGGTCTGACACGTATCCCGCAGGATAAAAATAAGCCAGAAGCCAAAAATGAAATCACCTGAAAAGCCACGTTCTGCTGCCTGTGCCGGAGCTGTCCTGCGAAAGAAAGATTGTCCCCGGGGCTGTCAGTCTGACACCTCTCCCAGTGCAAAATTAACGAGCCAAAAAAAGCCCTGTTAGAGCTGGCAGGTCTCTGCAGCCGGGCTGCGCGGCCATGGTGCTGACCCACGTGTCTCCAGCCTGGCTTTATCCTAAATGGAAAGAAGGAGAGATGCGAGACTGCAAGTGGGAAGGAGCTGGGGCTGGCCCGAGCGCCGGCTGCTTGTGCCCCCTTGCAGTCCACGTTTGTTGCATTCGGCCACATGAAATTTCGATTCAGGCCTTTTGTTGGGGGGGCAGCAGCTGTTGCGAGTGGCATTTAGCTGCCTGAAAACAGATGTCAAGGCTGCGGGAAGGAAACTGGAGTGATTAGGAAGGAAGCCGAGGGCTGGTGTGGGCGCAGGACGTGTCTGATGGGGACAGTTTCTGCTGCCGGTGGGGAGAGCCGGTCTCGTGTGCTCGGCCGGGTGCAAGGCTCAGCCCTTGCGTCCTCCACCCTTCCAGCGTCTGTCCTGGCACAGCCGGAGAGTGGCCCCTGACAGACTTCAGACACGCGGGTGCTGTTTTGCAGCCTGCAGACCTGGCATCGAATGCAAAGCGCCGCGTGGCCGCTCTCCTGCTCGGGTCTAGCCATGAAGAGGTGTCTTCAGCTGAATACAGGTGCCCCTGCGGCTTCTGCCCTGCCCGGCGGGCTTTTCTCCCTTTCCTTTTCCTGCCTGCGCCTGCTCTGGCTGCCCCAAACATGCTGGCGGGGTAAAACACTCGCAGCCCCCCTGGCGCCTGCCCAGTTTGGGTGTTTGGTGGGTGAGACCGGGCGCAGGAGAACCCCTCCAGCGAGGCTTTGCAGCCCGGTGGTTTCCAGGCCAGAAGAACAGGGTGTCTGCGGGCTCTAAGTAGGGCAGAGCAGCCAACAGGTTTGTCAAACGGCTGTAGTTGGTTTCTGTGCCTCTGGGGGGCACTGGAGCCCCCCGAAATGCAGCAGGTACCAGAAGCGGGCGTCCTGGGCACCCCCCGACAGACTATTAATAATTTAACCGGCTGCTTAATTCTGCACAGCCCCTTCTGAGCAAAACTCAGAGACACCAGCCTGGTTACGAGGGGCGCATGAATAATGCGCGACTTTGGCAGGAAGAATGCAGAAAAGAGCTTAAACGAAAATATTTTCCATCTCCCTTCCTCCCCCCCACCCCTTCCCCTCTGCTCGTTCTGTCAACCTGACTGCTCCGTAAATGTAGGGCAGGTACCATCCCAGATCTGCCAGCTCCCATCAGAGCCTCGCTGTGTGCCTGGGTGCTGTTCGTGAGCATCTTGCGAAGTGCAGCGAGATGGTAGCAGCTTTTTCAGGGTCAAACCAGAAGGGGAGAGCAGAATCAAGCCGGCTTTGCGGGTGCAGAGGATCGCCCACAGGCGAGGAGGGTAGCAGGGCTTGGTTCCTTGCTCTGCCAGAGGCTTGGCCAGGTCTCCTCGCATCCCTCGCCTTCCCCGCCTGTGAAACGCAGGTGATGCAGTTCCTCTTCACTAGGAAGGCTGCCCCGTAAACACGCTGAGGACTGGGGCGTCTTTGGGGTGACCCACGTGCCAGGAGCTGTGCTGAGGGGGACCAGAGGGATTTGTGCCGCTGAAGAAGCCGGCTCCTCAGCCCGGCTTGCAGCTGCCCTGGGCGTCCTCGCCATCCTTCCCTGGCTGTCGTGCTCTCCCCACCTTGCCGGGAGGGCAGAGGGGAGCATGAACCCCTTGCACCCCCCACCATGGGGCTGTTCGTCCCGGGAGCGTACGGCCAGGGCCAGCGTTGCAGCTGCACATCTCATGCAGGCCCCGGCTCCGGCTCTTCCCCCATCTGCTCCCAGAAGCCATCCTCGCCTGAGCTCAGCTCCTAATTTTGAACACCTCTGCCGCCCAGCACCCTCCCCTTCCCCCAGCTTGGATTTCATCCTGCATATATTTGCCACACAGCATTTAAAATAGAGCCCGGCAGCCCACGTGTGGCACTGCGCAGCCCGGCCTGGGCGCTCGGCTCGTGCTTTCCGACTCTAGTTCCTGGCTCCCCTCTGCTCCTTTCTTTCCCCGAGTATGAATGGGGGGGAAAGCTCTCCTTCCCGCTGTTCCGTGTGCCCCATCCCGCGGATTCCTCCGTGTGCGGGCAAGAGGTGGTGGCAGGAGGTTAGGAGCAGCAGCTCTGGAAGCCTGTGCATGATGGTGAATGCCTCACCTTCATATATTTCTCCATCCAGCCTTTGTGTCTCTCCTGGGTGCTCCAGCCAGGCATGCTCAGGATGGGGCAGCTCTGGGCTGTGTGGGGTGTTCTGTTAGAGATCATCTTGGACCTTTGGAGAGCAACCCGCTGGAAAGAGCAGTTTGTCAGGCCGGGGAGGTCTCCCAGAGAAGGATCTTTAGGGGTGGACAGATGTTGAAGGGTTACCCCCAGGCGACTTGAGTCTGGCTCCTGCCTCCCCCGAGGCAGCGGAGATTTGGGGGAGCTGCTGGTCCCTCTGCTCCCCTGCCTGTGTAGGGCCACGGCTCAGGTCGGAGCAGGCTGGCGTGGAGCCGTGGCACCCACATGCCCCAGGTCTGGCTGCCTTGCTGTGCACGGTGTGCCCGGGGCTCAAAACGGGACCAGCGGGACACGGAGCACCGGTGAGTGCCGGGCGGGCCAGGGAGGATGTGCAGCGCCTCGTCCCTGGGGAAGGTTTGCAGCTGCTGCCAGGGGACTTGGCATGATAACTCGCGCTGCTGAGCCAGAGCAGAATGAAACCCTGGGGCCTCCACGGCCCGACTGTTCACCTCATTCGGTGCGGAGAGGGAAGAAGAGGCTGTAGGAGGGGACTGTGGTGAGAAGGGGGCTGTTCATGGCTCCACGACTGCCTTGGTCGGGCCTCGAGGGAGACCCTGCCGGTCTTTTGCCGTGTGTGACCTGGGGAAGAGACTCCCACCGCCCTGTGCATGCAGTGCGGTTGTGCCAGGGAAGGGGGTGAACAGGCAGCAGTGTTGCCCGTACCCCGTCCTGGCCCTCGCTGGCCAGCAGAGCCCTGGCCACCCTGACCACCCCGTCCAGGTAAGCTCTGCCTCAGGCTGGCTGCCCGCTCGCTGCTCTGCCGTCCCCATGTGTGGCAGGGCTCGGCAGTGACCTACAAAAATCACTTGTGTACTTTCCAGCTCACTGTCCCTAGCGAGAGGCAGAGCAAAATTGAACTGAAATGTGTTAATCTGGTGAGCTAACTTCTCTGACGCTCCAGCCCTCTCCTCTCCCGAGAGTGGCC